TATGCATGAATAACAATATTGCATAGACAATATTTAATCAGCTGATCTGATAAAGTAAGCACGATACGCATTTCTTATGTGCCATTTAATTTAATCTTAATAATTTTTAATTAATAATTTATACTCATTTATATATAATCATCAAAGCCTATTATATATAATCTAAGATTCTTAATCTTTTGGAACTTTTATAAGCTATAAAATTATCATCTTTTAGAATATAATCCAAATAGCGAATGCGTGAAACGCTAAACTAATCCAAATCTTATCAAAACTCAATTCAGCAAAATACTCTTCAGATAACTTGCGCAATCGTGATGAACCTTGGACGCTTAAAATCTGATACAATCGACACGATTTTAGTTTATGTACTTTTATCTCTGAGTCATATTAAATTATTGATAATAGAATTGTTTCGATGACTGAATCATTCAAGCAATTCAAAAATATCTTGCGTGAATTTCAAATCATTACGAAATTGTAAATTACATATATCTAAACAATTTGCGATTATTAATTCAGATAAAATAACGAAATATAGACCGATTATAAGAAGGAAGCACACAAGATTTAGTTCTTCTCATTTGCAATTAATCTTTCCTTGAATTTTTTTTTGACTTCTTTTCTAAGCTATTTGAACAATCGGGCATCGGAAACTGATCAAATTTAAAACTCAAAACGTCTGAATTTTTTTTCGAGTTAGCCACACATACTTGAATAAAAAAAACCCGGTAATGTATCGACATGTTGGCTAGCAACAATGAGAATATGTGGAATCGAAATGGCAAATTATCAGCAATCAATGAGTCAGGAGGGAGAGACGCGGACCGCGATCGACATTAGCAAACGCGAAACGGAGAGAGAACGCGCGCCCGCGCAAGACAGAGACAGAGAGAATGCATTCTGCATCGGGACATTTCGAGAATACTCGAAATGCATTGTCATTCGGGGTGCTATCCTTGGTCCAGCACCTCGGCGACTCGAAACAACCTCCTCGCCGCGATGCTACGTGTGTGTCGCGCCAACACCCCGTTACGAGGATCGCATTCGCGATGTCAATGGATGAGCAAATTGATCAAACGCGACACGATTCGATTCGCACGCGCGTACAATTTTCTCACCTGATCGACGAATTCGATACAATCTCGATAAATCATATCGATCTCATGACATTTGATTCGTAAACATTAAGTTGATAAGCGGAACTCGATCTGTTTTATAATATTTCTCGAGACACGGATTTTAAGATAATACGAACTCGACGGGTTTCGCGTATTCGAGCTTTGAAGAGCCGCCGTTCAGATCCGTGTATCTCCGCGCATCGCGGATCACCCGGTAGAATTTTCCGTAAGCACGCGTACAGCTATTACCTAACTCTCTCTCTTTCTCTCTCTCTTGCGTACATAGACGGGATAGCCGGTGTCGGGCGCGTATATACTCGGCCCGCAGTTACGTATCTGCGGAAGCCCGCCGCGCCGGTTGGTCGGGGCGGATAGGTAGGCACCGTATTATATACGTAGCGAGGGCTGGAGGGTCCTCACCGCCGCAACATTACGCTGATTGCCTGAATTATCCGCAACCAGCCCGCCTGGTGCTCTCCGCTGTATGTACGTACGAGCTCGTCCGCGCGGGTATATAACCGCACGATGGCATACATATGTGCCTTGTACTCGCACCTTTACATACCTCAACTGGCTGTGTATATACATATGTATTATACATACACGTGTATATATATATATATATATATATATATATATATATATATATATATGTGTGTGTACGGAAGCGCTCATGTACGCGCACTCGCGCGCGCGCGCATCTCCGCTCGCGTTCGCGAGCTACGCGCGCGAACTCGCGCGTGCTTCGCGACACGTGTGTACGTGTACGTGTAATAGACGGCGGCGTGGAGATAGATACGCAATGTACGTATGTACGCGCGAACCACGCCTCTCCCCAAGCGTGCACCTGTGTATCGTCACGCTCTTGGGACGAGGTTCACGTGGAGAAAATTGAAAACGGGCGCTGCGCGCGAGCGCGGAAGACGATAGCGCGATATATTCATGAAGGTGGAATAATGAATCGAGACGAGAGAAGCATATATGCGTATCCTCGGCGCGGCATGCGCGTTATCTGCCGTACCGGCAAACCGCTGCGAATCGATCGCTTTATTTTTTAGCGCAGTTCGACGTGCCGAGAAACTTGAATCGCTCCGATATGCCCCAGCGAGAAGTTTAGTAGACACTAAGGGCCTAGCAGCTCCGCTCTAGCAGTATGAAAAATTGATGATTTTTAATTTGAACTTTTTTTCTGAAAAATATTAGAAATTGATTTTTTTTTACGTTTTATATTGTCATTGATATTTAAACGCCACTCGGTATTTTTAAATCTTGGATATTTAACTTTCTTCTCGTTCGTTCGAAATGTATATTAAATGTTAATTTTTTAAATTCCCTCTCTTAGATTAGATTCAGCATTTTCCGAAATATAAAATTAGAACTGAATTTTTCCAGACAATTACACAAAGAGCATGTGCACACCGTCAAACCATGCATTTTTGAATAAAAAAATAGATAAATATTCAAGAATTAAAAATATTGGCATACTGTTTAAACATCAATAAAAACATATGTAAAATGAATAAAAAATCAATTTCTATTATTCTTCCTAAAAAAATTCCTAAAAATGAATAATCTTTCATACTACTATAGTAGATTAGTCTTGTAACTTTCTGAAATGCAATATTCACATAAACATTTCTTTTTCTTTAAAAGTATCTTTTTTATAATTAATTAACATGATCGTCTCTCCTTAATTTCTCTCACAATTGTCGCTATCGGTCAATTAGTAAGAAAAAAATTTTTGTTTACTGTCCTCGTAATATTTACGATGTTAAAGATGAGCATTAATAAAAATACAATCATTATAATCTCGAGCAAAAGATTAATAGATGAATCTACGGAGGCCAGATGACTCTAACATAGCCATGAATTCGTTTTGGCTACAGCGCAAACTTGCAATGGAATAACGAAGGGAATGCAAGGGCATACGGAAGGGTTAAGGACGCGTATCATACCACTTGATTAATGTACTTCACCCGTGCACATCCGTCTATGTCTGCGCGATCCTGTCTACACGCGGATGGCTCGTACACGCATGTCATTTGTTAGTTAATGCCGTGATGGAGAGCGAAGCAACATGCACATGGTAGCAATAGAACGCACGCCGAGATGTATGCAAAAATTTACGATAGCGGACAGGATTAAAAATGTATTGCGATCTTTCTTTTTGATAAATTGTGCAATTTTGTCGAAGAAAAATCAAGCGATATTATCGAAATCCATTACGAATGAATACTCGCGAGAATCAGAGAAATCTGAATCTTTCATTCAAACATTTAGTATTTAATATAAGTGTCTTGTAAAATGGTCATGTAATCTATGAACTTTATGAAATCTATGAAAATTTGGAGTTTGGAAGAGTACTCGTCATATTAATAATTCAGATAAAGAGATTTGTCGATTGATCTTGATTCGCAATCAATCCGTCAGTCGGGAGTACCTTTTCTTACATATAATTTATTAATTTCAACACTTTCATGCACTTTATATCTGTTGCAAAAAAATATCGGTATCTGAAGAAAAAAGTCTTGATAACTTTCACGTTCTTTCAAATTTTTGCTGATTGATGTAATAGCTTCAAATAATCGATCATCGTCGTCATATTTATTAAGTCTAAATTTTATCAGGTGGAAACTGAACCTTACATCGAGTCGAATACAGATTACAAGATATCAAAGATATCTTAGCGTTAATTTTATTGATAAGCAGCTTGAGTGGGCAAAGAGGTTCTTACTAATTTTTTTATTAAGTTCACGTATATTAATAACGCAATATATTATGATAAAATCTATTACGTGTTCCACATGTACTTTTATGGAAAGGGAGAAAAACTTGTAATATATATTTTACTTTCACTTTTAATAGAATTTGATTTCAACGTTATTCATTTATCATTATCATTAATTTATCGTTTTTTAAATGCACATAATTACTAATTGAATAATAAAACGAGAGATAATCACGCGACAAAAATTACAAAAATATTTATTAATTTCATTATTCTATTGTAGTTGTTGGATATTAAAATGAAATACATATTTTATGCTAATTCGATGCCATTCTATTTTTGAATTATTATTTTTACTGACGTATTTTTTTTCGTATATCATGTTCATTCAAATTATTGGATAACATGTATTGTGATTGAAGATTGAATGAGATAATTTTACATAAAATTTCAAGGCTTTAATTAATAATAAAAAATTATGATATAATTTTTATTTATCGTTTAATAACTATAATTGCAGATTCAATATTTTTGTTCATTTCTAAACTCAAAGTCGAATATATATTTTTAATTAATAAAATGGCTTTTACATTTTTAAATTGTAAGATTGTATAAGCTTTTTGTCTCGATATAAAATTTTTACTAATTTAGATATGAGAATATTACATTGTTTATATTGTTTTTTTAGTGATTAAACGGTTAAAGGTTCCAATTTTAAATCGAGCTTTAATGATAAAGCATTTTACCAGTTTCAATTATTATCTAACCAAAAATCATGTATTGAAAAAGTTAGCTTGTTGCTTTATTAACTTATTAAAAGTCTTTTATCGCAATAGCATGTAAACATAAGGCATGTTTGATTTAAATCAAACTCAGCGATAAAAACACGCAATGATAAAAAAACTAGTTATGATTCTGCAATCTTCTGCATCATAGTAAAATCTATCGATTTTCGTACTGTTACAATCACGCAAATATTGTTCATAGCTCGTAGCTGAAATCTGACGCACTCTGGCGCAGAAACTTTTTCGCGAAACAATGTGATAGATAATCTTCTTTTCCGACCAAACGAGAAAAGCATATCTTCAATAGATATCATCTGTCCTTGCGTGTTTCGTGATAACGCGATGCATATTTATAAAAGCCGATCCGCCCGATTTTCAGTCAATCACGTATTTAAACGGATCGAAGAAGTGTTGACAGAATCAACGATACGCGTTCTCTTCTTCTCAAGTACAAAGGATCTCAAGAATCAAGTAGACTCAAGGATCAAGTAGACGATAGGTGATGAAGGGTAAGTTTTAAAATACTTAACAAATTTTTCTACGATAAAACTATAAAGTAAATCGATCATATATGTAATCATGCTTCGTGGAAGCTTTTTATCTAAAATTTATGTGAAATAATTGACAGCTTTTTTCGATTGTGAAACAAAAATCGATTAAATTGCCATTCCACTATACGACGACTGATGTTTGACGACAATTTTTATTCAATACAGGGATATACGTAGTCGCCGTTGCCTTTTTGGCATCTTGGAGCGTATGTGTCGCAAATCAATCATCTGTTGAGAAGACAAAACCTCAGGACGAAATTTTTAGGAAATGCCCATATCCGGATATAAATCCGAAAAATACTACAACCAACATTGCGCATGAAAGCGACTGCACCAAGTTTTACAAATGTCTCTTGGGTAGAGGAACCGAGCAAGAATGTCCCTTGATGTGGAAAGATGATCCAGTAAAAAGACTGCATTACAACAGAGCCCTTCAAGTCTGCGATTGGCCGTGGGAGGCCGGTTGTGAAATCTGTCCTCCAAAGGATGACAATGGCAATTATCCGCCAGAATCTTGGATAGCAGATCCAGAATCTTCAAGTTGTAGATCATACATCATATGTAGAGAAGATGGTCGACAGGTGTCTGGTACTTGTCCAAGAGGTACGTGCTTCAGTCGCACATGTCAGGGATGTGTTACGAATCGAGCGAATGGAAACTGTAAAAACGATACTTCTCCTGGAATCTCGACAACAAGCACTTCTCCTGAAATCTCGACAACCCCGACAACTTCGACCACATCGGGTCTTAAATGTGAAACCGGAAATCGAAAAAAACATGATTGCGACTGCGCCAAGTTTTATCAGTGTTACGGTAATGAGGATTGGATCCTACAACATTGCGATGGCGGTCTACATTTCAGTGCCACAGCGTTGGAATGCCAGGAACCAGACATAGCCAAATGCCTGAAACCAGAGAATTAAAAAATCCGACGGTTATCCGCCAAGCCTCTTTCCAAGAATAAATGACGTCACACGAGTGTGGTCGCAAATTTACAAGCCAATATAGAAAAAAAGATACATTGTTTAATTATCCTTCAAAGAGAATAAAGATGTAGAACCACTCGAAAAATGTAAAATGCACGAATAAAAATGTCACTGAGATGATTAGACGTAGGCCATCATCAATCTCGAAGCATACAAAGTTGAAAGTAGTGATGAGTACGAAGAATAAAATTATGCGTGCTTGCTAAAATTGTATTATTATATTTGTAAGAGTAGATTAGTTTCTCCTAAGATATTTTAATAAATCTATTAATATAAAATGTATTGTTTCTATTTACTCGCTTATCTCATTTGCCAATTCAAATCCTTGAAATACATACATCAATATATAATTAGATATATAATTATTACAACTACTTTATTATATATCTATAACTCAGATACAAATTTTAAAACGATAGAAACAGTATTATACGATAATCTACAGCACACACACAAAAATAAGTAAAGATTTCAATCATTTTCAGTAACATAATCGCAATGTCAGCAAATATACGTTATAGATTGTTACGTTATCGATAAAAATCGATTCATGCAGATTGTGAAAAATAAATCGATATTACCACTCGAAATTTCCATTTCCCAGATTAATCACCACAAATATCTTATCACTTAATATCTAAATACGCATCTAATCGTAAGTATTTGCGTATCATAAAAGATAACGACAAAGAAGCTGGCAAAAAAATTCCGCCGCATTTCGATTCTGGTGACACAGTGACACGGAGCCTATCAGCCGAAACCTTCTATTCGACGGCCGTTTCTGATAAATAGAACGTTGTACCGGGAACACTGTCGCGAGTCCCGACAATGGCCCGCCGGAAGATCGGGGCAGCTTTAATTTCCCCCCGTAGTTCCTGGCAATTACCGCGTGGCGCGGCCCGATAGCCATCTCTATCTCCGACCACAATGCCACCAGTTCCGACGCACCCCGTTCCTTGCCACCTTGCCAACAATTTATTCCCTCCCCCCCTCCGGACCGACGACGATTTTTCTCGTCTCGACGTGATACACGAACTGTCTTATATCCCTGCGATCGATCGCGCGAAATGATCGAGAAGGAAATCTGGTTTACTTAGAGTATCGAGAAATTATATTCTCGTAACTTTATGCGGTGTCTTTGTCAATTGTCGCTTTTATGAAAGAATATAAGGTTCATCATAGATTATGAGCTTATATTACATAAGAATTGATTGGGTAATCGATAATAGACAGCTTATGCAAACATTACTTGCTTGTGGAGAAACTTGACTTTTCTGTCGCAGCGTGAAACAATCGGATGAGTCCGATAGAGTTTATGAATATTGCGCGATTAGTTCTTTCCGAAACTATGTTACTCATTTGTGTGTGTGTGCGCGCGCGCGGGGGGGGGGGGGGGAGCGGGAGAGACGGAGAAAGGGGGTGCACGTGCGAAACGGTACGCGCCGAGAGTTGGTTCGGGTATTTAACAACTCGTGGCCGAACTTCTTCGAGGAGTTCGTAAATGGTGCGGGACGATTGGAGCGCGACTGCTTAAGTTCGGTCACCGGGGAAAGAAGGAGGAAAGGGTGCGCGGAGGGAGAAGCTCTTTCTCCCTTTCTCTCTTTCTCTCGCGGCAACATTATCGTGTTTTAATTTAACTTGCAGCTGCACTTTAATTAGACTTTGGCTGAATGAGGAGACGACGCTCGACGGGCAAAGCGAATAAGTACTGGCAAGTAAACGGGAGGCGAAGCGCGAGCGAACTCTATTCCTCATCCATTTCCCTGTCCCTTGGCGATCCCCTCCGGCCCCTCGCCCCTCTCCTTCCTCATCCATCTACGGTTAGACAGAAAATTCGAGCGATAAGGAAAGAGCGCGGCGGAAAAGGAAGGTAATTGGCCAATGCCGACAATACGGCCGGCAACGTCGCTTCTACTTAATTTTTCTTCTCTCCGCGACTTCACTTTGTAATAAGAAAGATATTCTTTGAGGTACACATCTTCAACGCGATTATACGCAAGAAATCTGTATAATTTCCTCGAGGCATTTTCGAAAATTATCGCGCTTCTCTCCAGCTTCATAATCCTCGAGAGGTTCGCGCGATCAGTTTTTTTCCATTTCTTTTTTTTACTTCAAATTTAATTAACATAATTATCATTTAACGCGACGCTTCATAATTTTCAATTAAATATTCCATGTAGATAGTTAAAAAGCTCGCATTTTCTTAAATATTGAAAATTATCGTTTCGTCACATTTATTTCCCTCATATTTTTATTCTTTAACGCAAGATATACCGTTAGATCAAAGTTTCAGGGAACGTCGAAGCAGTCTGTCGTTTTCCAAACGTCTCGAAAAAACACTTCGTCGCACTTCCGACGTAACGGCATTTCCGCTCAGCCATTCAACCGTCGATATTACTTCGGTCGCTCGCGCGAGCGTGAGACGCCAGCTACTTTCTACAGTCGCACATTCTCCGCGAGGAACTCGCAACGCGAAACGCAATAAATCTCCGGGCTCTCTTCTCTCTGCTCGTCTGCGACGTTTCGCGAAATAATGACGATATAGCGAAGCCATGGACTCGTGCGAGTCGGTTTTCAATGGCGCCCCTCATCTCGCGCGCCCCGGTGTCTCTTCGCGCTTAATGAACGCCGAAACTGTCGCGAAGCCTCGCCAATGCCTGAGCGGCGCCTTTTCTGCCCCCTCCTCCCTCTCATCCATTTTCCATGCTCGTCGATTCTCCCAGCTTCGCCAACAATCGCGACAACGGCGGGTCTTCGTACTTTGACGGTCGACATCAAAGGCAATCGCGAAGTCTTATCGCGACCCCGCGATCATTCGACCGAGGGATTAAACGGACTGATCGAATTCGGCCGATAAAGTTCTCACGCGCGTCATCGCGGTTGAAATGATTCGACCTTTTCGAAAAATCTCGAGAATCTCTATATTATCAATATTATGAAAAATTGGCTAATATGCGCGTCAACGCGTTCCTTTCCCCCTGAGATAAATCGTAAGAGAAGTCATAGAGAAACGTCATTTCGGAACGATGCATCTTCGCGCACATCGTGCCATTCTCATCTTCAATTGTCCATCCACGATGTTCCAAGAGCGTTCAACATTTCTCCTTCGGTCTTCTTATTCCTTTTTTTTCCGCGAGATTCTTGCTCTAATACTACCTTCGTTCTTCCACTGAGAACCTCTGTTCCAGGTCGAGAGCACTTATTCGGGCCATAACTCCCGCGCGCGCGTTTCTGCCCTCCATTTCTGCCATCCCGCCCTCATAAATATACGAGACGAGGCAAGGAAGAGGAGCAGCTCGACGAAGGGGGAAGGGCGACAGCAGCGGGAAGGGTATACGAGAACGGCAAAGTCACAGAAGCAGGCGGCGGATGCGGAATCCGGGACTTTAAAACAAATATATCGCGCGTAAATCCAGCGTGGATGTAACTAAGTCTCTCTCTTGCCGGGATCCCTGGATGTATCTCCCCAACGGGGGTCGTCGCGAGACGACGCGAGGAAAGAGAGCGGAGCAAATCGCCGACGTTTTGCTTTACATATTTCCCGCGGAATTGTCTCTGTCGTGCCGAGAGGGGAGCTGGAGGCAACCCGTCAGATGGAATACAGTAAAGTAACACAAAACGGGAGATTTAAAATCCCATATTTCTTTCTCCTCCTCTTACAGAAATCTCGTATTATGGAAACTATTAAGTCTCGTTGCAGTTTAACTATCTTTGCATTTTTTCCTCTTGTAATTTTTCGGACATTTTACATTTAAAGCGCTTCATGAACCAACACGACGGGAAAATAATTGCCTCTCAGGCGAGACCTTCCTCGCTGGAAACGATTCGTGAACCTCGTGGCAGACCGAGCGTACATATCCCGTGGGCGAGTACGAGGATTCATGAATACCAAAGTATTTGCCAAGCGCGTACCGATGACGCGGAAGAGTCCCGCGAACAATTCTACCCGCGTTTTGCTACTAAAAAAAAACGCACGTGCCTGCAAGTATGCACAGAGTGTACCAAAAATTTCGCATTTTATAGAAAATAAAAAAGACTTCAAAAAGATAAATTCGAGAGTCTTTCAATATCATCATAGGACGCACTGTTTATTAATTATTTTCTTGATGACTCTAGCGTGACATAAAATTATGACGCCAAGAAAATTATGGATAATTAAGATGACGAAAACTATTCGTCGAGGATCTTTAATCTTTAACAATTGCTGAAATAATCATTCTTCTTCTAGGATTGGATTACTTGATAATTTCGCGCGCATCAAGTGTCTCCGATACACCCTGTATACGATGCGCATTCAGTACGCGCCGTGCATGAAGCCGGGCAAGGTTCCCCGCGGGCTTAATACGGTATGCACGTCTGTCGCTCGCAAGCTCGACCCTATGCGGGCACGAATCCGCTACCAACTAATATTCCACGAGAGGGCCCTGGGCTACGTGCCTAGACTGGGAAAACTCGCTAGATCCGCCGAGGCCCGTTCCTAATATCGAGCAGTCGATTCCGAGCTGCTATACGTTAGAGATCGGACAAAGGCTTGGGTAATTGCTTCCCTCCTCCCTCACCTAGTTCACGTTTGCTATCGAGTTGCGATAGATTCGTCGTCGACGATTAAAGTCGAATGCGATACCGTGAATACGACGAATAGGTGAGATAAGACCGTCCGATTTGGCGAATAATTAAATTATTTTGTAGATGTAGACGATCGTGAGCCGCGTTTGCGTTGTCATCGTCGCGATCGATGCGCTTTCCGCTCTAATTAATATAATATAATCATCATGAATTTCTCTACATACGCGGGTTAAAAAGAAAAGAGAACTTCTTTATCGAAAAATATTTGATTTAATTCATTTGTCGCAATTTCGTATTATATGCGGATATTTTTTTCAAAATTATAATAAAATAGAATAATTTAAATATAGAATGATAAGATCGACATCACGTTAAAATATCATGTTTTTCAAGCTGTACAGATTATTTATGCACGATTACTGTAATAATCAAAGTACAAAATTCATAACATTTTAAAAAAGATTCAAGGAAATAAACTTTCTGTTGCTTATTCTCGAATAAAAATGTGACGAAGGGAAAAACGAATGAGTCGCGGGTTAATCGATATCCGTTGACGATC